GTTGTAGAGTATAAAATTGCTGATATGGGACATTTAAAGTACTATTTGGCTCCCAAGATTGAAGATGAAGAAGGATCCTAGACGTTCTTAAAATCAAGAAAGTAAAACTCAGCTCTTCAAAAACTGCTTCCGAGATGCATTTCTTTTGTCACCAAATTTGTACCTGAGTATATATGTAGATATTATTTTCTGTAAATAACCTATTTTTTTTTCCTCTTCTCTACACTTGTTTAAAGAGGTCCAGAGTTAAATCTTGTTGCTAGCCTAGAAATACTGCCTTACCTAAATATTCTGGGTGATTTTTATAACAAAAGGGCTTGACTGTATTTTTCAATTTAAATAAAGTTATTTGAATTTCAGATGTCCCAGGACTACATTCATTTGGAGCATGATTTGCAGAGTACCTTCTTAAATCCTCAAGAAAAACTACACTTTCATGTAAAAGCAATTGTTTTTTAAATTTAAAGTGATCTAGTATAAATCCATTTATGGAGATAGGTTATTTTAAGTGTAAAAAGTGACCAAAACTTTTAGGGAAATTCATTATCAAATACCTTAGTATTTAATTTGAACTCAAAAGCAAATGGGAGAGTAGACTGAATTACTTTAATCATTTTAGCAAAAATTCACTTTTCAGAAACCTGTTGTGCCCAAAGGCATGTGGTTCATAAGGTTTGTATTATTACAGGGCACTGCTTTAGCAGAGAGAATCAAGAGGCTTGGAAGCTTTGGTAAATCTGCCTAGGGGCCTGAGCCTGAGGAAGCTTGTCTTTTTTTTTCCCCCTTCAGAACCAGGGATTGAATTCAGGCCCTTGGCTTGCCAGGCAAGCACTTACTCTACTGAGCCGTCTCCCCAGCCCCATGAGGAGTCTTAATTACAAAAATCTATTTGAGCGTCCTTGTTTAGGACTTCACTCCCTTAAAAGATGAAATTATGTAAATCCTGTGCATGGTGGATCAACTTAGAAAGTGCAGACTGCAGTTATGAAGGAACACAGAAATACACTCCTCACTGCTGAGGGGCGCCACACATTTAATTGGTTTACTGTTATGATGAGATGCTTTGTACTAGCGTGTTTTGTGCCTGGTGAGGATTAAGTGGCCAACATCTTTGTTGTCATAGTACCTGGACCACTAGTTTATGGGGTGGTAGAACTTCTGTATCTGACAGTCCAGAGCCCGGAACCAGATTACTTCGTGCCATGGATCTGGGGAAAGATGGGCCACATAGATGCCTAATAAGTTGTCATAGTTGTGGGGCTGTACTTGTCAGGCCTCGATTCAAGCGTCCTTTATGAGATAGAAACTATCTTAATAAACTTTAAGAAAGTTTCCTGTGCTGGAAAATGTTCCTTATGGACATATAAACCTGGGTGAGGCCTGCTAACTTGGAGGAGGGCCGCGGAGTGCTGTCGCCGGGGCGCAGGTCGCGGCGTGAATCTGCAGGGTTGGGCACTCAGCAGCGGGACGAGCACCCTGCAGCCTTGGCGCCCAGATTCCACCTCCCGGAGAGCCCGCCGCACCACTCGGCCCCAAGTTTGCTGAGGGTCCGACTACGACCCAGGTGGGCGGGGATCTTGGGTGTAGGCTGGTTCCGGGCTCTGGTCTCGGGGCCCCCCCGGGGAAGGCCCAGGCCGGACGCCGCACGTAGCTGGCCAACCCAGAAGGCTAGCCCGGGACATGCCCGCAGTGCGGTGAGAGGGCGTCGCTCCCGTTACGCACTTCCGGCGCGTCCTCTTACGACCCGCCACTTCCGGCGCGCGCTTCAGCTCGCTGGGGTTTGGGGTGGCAGTTAGGTTGGGGGTGCTACGCGGCATTAGTGCTCCCCACAGCTCTCGGCGGCTGAGCTTCCTGCACGTGGACGGCGCGGCGCGTCCTGCGGTGAGGCGGCGGCGGCGGCGGCCGGGACGGGCGCGCCCTCCTCCTCGAGCCCGTGCTGCGCCGACCGTGACACCGCGGCCCTCGGGCGCCGCCGGAGCGCGCTTGGCCCCTCGCCAGAACCGGTGTTGTCTATCCTACGCCTGACCTCGCGTCGGTTCGTAGTTCTCTCGGTGGCGACGTCTGAAGACTATCGGGAAAATAGCGTATGTAGAGGGGTATAACGCGAGGCTCAGTGCCAGCAGGCACTTTATTGTTACTTTATAATCCTTCTAGCACGGGTGCTGAGAGATTTTGAGGTTGCCTGGGGCTGTTGAAAAGCCTTCTGGAAACTTGGACTGATTCTTTGGAAATATTCCTGCATGACTTTTCCGTTTTAGAATTATTCCTCTTTGCCAAGTACACGCATTCAACTTCTCATTAACTTGCGCCCTACAATTTTTTTTATTTTGGCGTGAGTGAATAGCACAGTACGTGCGCAGTCTTTGTAGAAAACGCCAGTACACATTAGATGTGATTAAATGCTCTCCAAACTCCCATGTATTGGTAGTTTGAACTTTTTTTGGGGGGAGGGGGACGGGAGATTGAACTCAGACCCTTGCGCTTGCTAGGGAAGCGCTTATTCTACTGAGCCATCTCCCTGGCCCTAGTTTGAACTTTTGTTACAGAATTAAGCTTAATCGTGTCATTGCATCACAAACCTCAAAAACTTAACACAGTTGAACTAATCCTTTTAGAAAAGTGTTTGGGTTAGCTTTACAAATTTTTCAGTGTGCAATAGCTCAATCGACTTGTAATCAAAAAGGGACAAAAACTTCTTTCACGGTGCTACTTGAGATCAGCTGTACAGTTAATTTTTGTTAAGTATAAAGCACTTAGAATAATGCCTGGCACCTAACCAAGACTTTATTTTGTTCACATAACTTTTTACCTTTATGGAGGAAACATGCACAAATTTCAATTTTTTTAATTTTTAAGTCTCATTGTTTTAAAATTCCACATACCGGCAAACTGGATATTCTGGACAATGAACCACACTTCTTTTCTTTTGGACAGCATTGGAGATCAGACCCAGGAGCTTAGCTTAGTTTAAAGCTAAGCAAGCGCTGTACCACTGAATTACACCTGCAGTTATCTGACTTGCCTAGGAAACTACGAAGTCTGGGAAATGGCACTATTTTCAGGACTGGGGATGAGCCTGAGAGGTAGATGTATCTGAAGGCACTGGTGTAGTGCCGATAGCCAGTAGGTGATCCAAACAGAGAAGCTGTACAAGTCCTTTTCCTTAAAGCAAAATGCTGATGTGAGTGTATTCTGTTCCCTCCTCTCTCTTTGCCTCTCTAGCAAACAAAATCTCTTGAACATGTTCCTAAGTGCAGGGAGAGGGGAACACCAAACACGACAGGCCTTGCTATGGGGAGTAGCTGGAAATGTGGACTTCGGTGCCAGGTGCACCTGGATTTAAGGCCCCACTCTCACCTACTCTACCTGTGACTCTGGAAAAATGAGCAAGCAGGGAATGGTGGTAGCAGAGGACACTTGTCTAGTTCTTGGTGAATGTCCTGTCATCCTAAGTGGATAGACCAGAGTAGACACATAGTGAGGATGCTTTAGCTGTCAGGAATACCAGACTTTAAGGGCTTTGACGTCTGTATTGCCAGTTCCACTCTAGCATGGTGGTCCGGAACTCCAGTACATGGTATCTGAAGTCATTGGCTATAATGTACTGTCACCTATAGACAATAACAATGTTTTGTTTTAGACTGTAGCTGCGTCAGTGTGTAATGATGCCGTCCCGAACCAACGTGGCTACTGGAATTCCTAGTAGTAAAGTAAAATACTCAAGGCTCTCCAGCACAGACGATGGCTACATTGACCTTCAGGTAAACTTGGATGGGAATGGACAGGGCTGGCAGGCTAGTGAGAGCTAGGTGGAGGTTTTGCTGAGGCCCTGGGAATTAGAGGGAGCAGGAAGTAACTCATGTCTGAGACTGGCTCTAACTTGCAGAGGGGCATGGTGGTACGGCAGTTTCAAAGCAATTTCAGTTTATAAACATTTTTAATGCCAGAGACCTATAGTTTCAAGTATTAAGTTTATCCATCAAATAAATAGACTTAGTTTTAAGTTAAATTATTTTAAGGACTACATTTAGTTATACTTTAGTCAAAGTTCATCTTTTAGGGCCGGGGAGATGGCTCAGTGGAATAAGCGCTTCCCTGGCAAGCGCAAGGGTGAGTTCAATCCCCAGTTCCACCAAAAAAAAAAAAAAAAAAAAAAAGTTCATCTTTTAAGGGAGAATCTAACTGCTGAAGGCAGCAGATTGTGGGACTCTTCTTGATATCACAAGATCCAATTTATTAAAGGTATTTGTGACAAATAGTAAATAATAAACAATATTACTGCTTAGACAGATGCAGGGGCCTGGAGCTCAATCCCCTGGCCTGCTGTGCCAGCACCACCCCTGGGGCAGGGATTGAGAGTTGGTGTGGTGGCACATGCATGTAATCCCAGCATTTGGGAGGCTGTAAACAGGAGGATCACTCCGAGCCCGATCTACGCAGTGATCGGCCTGTATACCTTGTGCACCCTGTCCTAAATACAAAATAATATTAAGTTTGCGTCATATCTTGGCATTATTTATAAGATACTATAATACTATAGCACTTCTTTTACCCATCCCCCTTAGAAAAGAATATTCTAGCTAAGACTTGAGCTAGAGGTGAAGTAGAAGAAACCTGTAATCCCAGCACTGAAGAGGCTGAGACAGGATCGTTGCAAGTTAGAGACCATCAAGGGCTACAAAGTGAGCTCAAGCCCCACCTCAACTACATAGCAAGATTCTGTCTCTAAAAGTATCCCTCCCCAATTCTTCCTACTCTTTGAACCTGTGCTGGGCATGGTGACTAACATGTGTAATTGCCGGTAGCTGAGGCAGGAAGGTTACCCCAGTTTGAGGCCAGCCTGGACTGCATAATGAGTTCAAAGGCCAGACTGAACTACAAGTAAGACCCCCTCTCTCTCTTTTCTTTCTTTCTTTTTCTTTTTTTTTCTTTTTTGTGAGACCAGGGATTGAACTCCAGCTCCTGCACTTGCCAGGGGAGCGCTTATTCCACTGAGCCATCTGTCTGGCCCCAACCCTGTCTCTTAAAAAAAAAAGTTTGTTTCATGAACTCAGGACTCTGCAGTTGCCAGGCAGGTGCTTAGGCCTCTGAGCTATCTACTTGGCCCTAAAAGTTTGTCTCTAAACTTTGAATTGAACTTGTTCATAAGATGGTGCTTTAGAAAACGCTGAAATTGTGTATTTTAAAAGTTTTGACAGTGTGCTAACTTTGAATCCCAGAAATCACTCCCTTACTTTTCCATAGCATAGTGTTCACTTAAATCTCAGTACAGCTGTCCGTGTTCTACTTAGTAAATATATACAAATGCATACTCCTCGAGGTCTCCTTAGAGTGACTGCTAGAGCATGGCTAGAGCATCATCATCTGTTCTGTGTCCCTTTCCTTTCTATCCTGGGGCTACACTGGGTGGGAAGATGCATATTTAAAATACTTGAAGCATCCAGTTCTCGTTCTTAATTATGCTTGCCGCTTTAGGGTGTCTTTGCCCTGTCATCTTTATAACGTGCTTCCTTGACTTTGTTTTTTGTTTCTCTTTCAGTTTAAGAAAAGTCCTCCTAAGATCCCCTACAAAGCCATCGCACTTGCCACTGTGCTGTTTTTGATCGGTGCCTTTCTTATTATCATAGGCTCCCTCCTGTTGTCGGGCTACATCAGCAAAGGGGTAAGATGATGGGAGTGTCACATAAGATATGTTAAAATATGAGTTAGAGCTCTGTCATTTTTATATTCTATCCAGTACACCAGATTCCAGCAGAAAAAAGAAAAAAAAATGTTTCTTTCATATTTTGTTCTTTGATGAAATGTGCTTTGCATATTATACAGGTGACCCACACCTGTAATCCCAACAGAGTAGGAGACTAAGACAGGACGCTCACAAGCTTGAGCCCAACCTAGCAACTTAGCTAGACCTTGTGTTAAACTTTAAAAAGCCAGGGATGATGGCATATGCTTGTAAGGCCAGCACTCAGAGGAGGCTGAGGCAGGAGAATCACCAGGAGTTCAAGGTCTGCTAGAGCTAGTGAATTCAAGGCCAGCCTGAACTATATAGCAAAACCCTGTCTCAGAAAGGGGCTGGCAAGATAGCTCAGTGGACTAAAGCGCTGGCTTAGGCAAGTGCAGGGACATGCCATGCCAGCCCTACCCCCAGGGCGTACTGAGCCAGCCAGAGAGTCCGGGCATAGTGGCATACGTGTGTAATCCCAGTGCTGGGGAGGCCGAAAACAGGAGGATCACTATGAGTCCAACCTGTGTAGTGAGACCTTGAAACAACCAAATACATTAAAAAAAAAAAAACGCTTAAAAAAAAAATCTATGTATATAAATCAGTTGGAGGGTCCTGGATTTAATCTCCAATCCTGAAAAAAAAAAAAGAAAAGAAAAACAGTAAATAGCTCATATCATTTCTGTGAGGTGGGTGTCATCAGATAGGCAAACTTGGGCTCTGAGCTATTGGGCAGTTTGTCCTCAGCCACAGTAGGACCACTCGTGTAGCTCAACCTGGCATCCAGGGTTTCTGACCTGTGACAGGCTATCGTCAGCTGAGGAGTGGCACAGATGTACTGGTCAGTGTGGGGAGAAACAGGAGACTTGTCAGGAAAACAATTTTTTTTTTTTCAGAACTGGTGCTTAAACTCAGATCCTTGTGCTTGCCACAGAAGTGTTTATTCTACTGAGCCATCTCCCCAACCCCGGATAGGAGACTTGTACATACTGCTGTTCGGGTGCAGCACCTGTAGAGAGGCAGAGTGGTGTCTTAGGACCTAAGGTGGTCTTTGCTGGTTTTTCCTGTCAGGCTGTCTCCACACATTATATGGTGTCTAAGTTGCCCTGAACTTACTCTGACACAAACCAAGAAAAACAAGTTGATTGTATTCTGTACAGTTACAGAAAGTGCCCCACTGTGGAGCTGCATTCTAGTGCTTCTATACAGTTACAGAGAAAGAAAAGGAAACAGTGTCCGACAGCTGTGGGCACTGGAATAAATTGTGTTGCATGCATTGCAGAAGAACGTTTCGTGCAGTTCAGACACACGGAAGGCTTCTAGTACTGGCAAGTGCTTATGATGGAAAGATTGACAGGACACAGAGTGGCTCAGTTCTTAGGCTGCACAACTGAGAGCTTTGAAAAAGGAGCAGAAGGAAATGAACCATTCTCATCTGAATAAAGAATGGGTGATTTTATAGTATTTAGTACTTGAAAGTTTTGTGAGTTTATAATGAGGAAGAAAAAAGATACAAGCATTTCCCTTGGTACTGTATTACCCAAGGAAGATATTGAGAAAACTAAAATAATGGGTCAGCCCAGTGATAGCTCAGTGGACTAACGTGCCTGCTTAGGCAGAGTGCAAGGGCCAGGGCTCGCTCCCAGTGTGCTATGCCAGCCCTACTCCTGGGGGGTGCTGAGATGGCCATTGAGACTGGGTGTGGTGGCGCGCCTGTAATCCCAGCGCTTGGGAGGCTGAAAAACAGGATCACTACGAGTCCAGTCAATGTAGTGAGCCCTCAGTGTTTAAAAAAAAAAAAGAAGAAAGAAAGAAAACTAAAATAGTGATCTCTAGGTTGGGCCTGTGGCTTTATTGTAAAATATATTGAGTTGCGTGGACTACTGTAATGTTTTCCTTCTTTTGCCACTAGGGGGCAGACCGGGCCATTCCAGTCCTGATCATTGGCATTCTGGTGTTCCTGCCAGGATTTTACCACCTGCGCATTGCCTACTATGCATCCAAAGGCTACCGGGGTTACTCCTATGATGACATTCCGGATTTTGATGACTAGCACCTCAACCCCAAGAAGAGTTACGGTGGAGCAACACCCAGCTTTTACAATACTGAGTGGAAACCATGGCTAAGAGCTGAGGAATTTTACATTTAGTAGATGTTTAACAAATAAGTGGCCAGATTTTATGGGTCCATCCTGAAGATGTTTACTGAGCTTACAATTCACTAATTAAGGCACGTTCTTGTATTCATCTCCTGGCTCTGGCTAAAGCTCAACAAGTTTTTCCACATGAGCATGTACATGGAAGAACAGCATTGTTAATTGTCTCGGAAAGCAGGGCGTGACTGTGTAGTGGAAAGCAGTAGTACAACTACCCTCTCTTAAACAGTCTTCACTGTCACTTTGTCTTACAGCAAATGGAAATACGCAGACTGTAATTTCCTTGTTAAGTATTTATTTTTAAGATACTTCAGAACCTTCCCCCTTCTGCATATCTGCACCTTCGTGTTCTATGGGAAACCTGGGTAAAATCAGGTATCAGTGTGAGTCCTTCTGTAATATTTTTACTTGCTTTGTTATTGACAGCAACCAGGAATTTTTTGTACCATAGAGTGAGTTTTCAAAATACAAACATTGTCTCTGACGACCAGTCTTTGGCCAGCTCTGATCTAGTTTCCCATAGGGCTGCTAGCAAATTATTTGGTGGATCAAGACGTTATGCATATCATGCCGTGAAGGACTGGGCTTCTGGCTGTTTCTTCATGGAAAATGTGGATAAATTGTTTAGGGATTTTGACCCCTTAGGACACCAGGGACTCCAGTATCCCCTTGTTAAAGATTGCAGGATTTGGCCTAGTTCTTTGGAAGCCTCTGTTGCCTTAAGTTGATTCTTTTTCCTTCCTTTCAAAACAGGGATGCATACTCAAAAGAAATTAAAAGATCAAAATCCAAATTCCAGACTTAAAATCAGTGTGCTTTAAACATATTTCAGAAAACATTGTAGCATATTTATGATATTTTTTTTTTATTGAGAAACAGCAGTGAGACAGTTTCAAAACCGATTAGTAGGACAGTTTCAATAATTAATACATTGCATATTGTTGTCTTCGTAATGGTTATTTATGATATTTTTTGCTTCACTGCCTGAGACTGCCTGGATTTTTAGGTAGCTGCCATCATAAGTCATGCTCTACTTTTCACACTGTTTTGTTTTTTCTGAGACCGGGTCTCACTGTGCAGTTGAGATTGGGCTCAATTCTGCTCAGCCTCGTGAGTGCTGAGTACTTTTATTACATGTTTATCATTTAAAATCCTCAGAGAAGGGCCAGCGAGATAGCTCAGCAGCCTAAGCACCTGCCTAGGCAAGTGCAGGAGCTGGGGTTATATCCCTGGCAGCACATGCTGCATTGGCCCTGCCCCCGGGCACACTAAGACAGCCACTTAAGTCTGGGTGTGGTGGTGCATACCTGTAATCCCAGCGCTGGGGAGGCTGAAAACACAGGAGGATCACTTAGGAGTCCAAGCTGTGTAGTGAGACCCTATACAAAATACATAAATTAGAGAACAAATCCTCAGATAAGTTCAGGGTCAGGTGAGATTCTTGGCAGTGGGGCTGGGGGCTTGGTTGTGAGGCTCAGGTTGGCAGGGCCTGGATTGATGTCCTCAGGGTCTAAGCAGGGGGACTGAGAAGGGCTAGACAGTAAGGAGTGGGAACTACGGGTCCCTTGACTTCACCAGCTTTTGTGCGCAATGGGAATCCAGATTCATGGCCACTGGTCCAGGCATGACCTGTCGGGCAGGAGCAGGAGCAGAAGCTGCAAGCCTGTGGCCCCTGTTGGTCTAGTTTCAGAAAGAAGGTTCCTGTGATCTTGATGTCTGACTTCTCTTGAAAACCAGACAGTTGTTACTGAAAGTCCAGGCAGCTGAATGGGTGTGATAAAATCTGTTTTGTGGGTCAGGACACCCCAGTGTCCCACAGCCCCACCACCCTTTGGTTACTTTATACCCAACCTGCGAATGTCACTCAGGTTGAAGACAACCTCCCTCCTTCCCACAAGCACAACCCTGCTTGCAGATGTCACCTCTCTTAAGAGCCAGACCTGGGAGGACGTTGTGTTCCTTTCTGATACAGACAGGCTGGCTGGTCCTGTTGAATTCAAATCTTAGGTAGACCTGTGCCAGCTGGCTAGGGCACTTGGAAAGGTGCTACCTGCAGGTGTGGCCCCTGCCCAGCACAGTTTTCACCAGTTGCACAGCAGCTGGCACAGGTAGCCTTCTGTCAGTGTGCACCCAGGGAACATGGTGGAGACAGCAACCACAGTGACTTTCTGTTGACCTTTGACAGGCCAAGTCCAGGTCAGCAACCTGTGGTGCCTTATCTGTAGAGTGCCTTCCCATCGAGGCTTCTCTAGCACAGTTCAGGCTGTGGTGCAGAGGGCACAGATGGACCTTACTGCCTGCCACATGGTATTGGGCATGTTGCTTCTGTTCTACCTTGGGTAATGCTGCATAGGGTGAGGCCACCTAGGAGGGGCTCTGTGTGGAGGCGGACACATAGTATGCACTCAGCAAATGGAATGGGAGCTCTTTTTTTTGCAGGGGGTGGTTACCAGGGATTGAATTTAGGACCTTAAGCTTGCCAGGCAGGCACTAATTCTATTGAGCTATCTCCCCAGCCCTAAAGAGTTACGAAGAATTTTATTTATTTATTTCTTTGGCTGGCTCAGGATTCCTTAAGGGCAGGTCTGGGAAGGTCTGAGGATGTGGGGATTGAACCACAGTATCCTGAACCTGACTGCTTTGCTTAAGCAGGCACGTAAACCACTGAGCAGGCCCCCGATGGAATGGGAGCTGCTGTTGGAGAAGGTGTGGGTCACTCCTTTGGTTTCAGGGGAGAGATCCTATGTGCTGCCGCTGGGGATGCATGAGTATAGGACCAGGTAGACAGTGTTCTCTCAGCTGCCTCCAGCTGTGGAGCTGGGCCTCAGTTTCTAGGCTCCCGTCCTAGAAGGGAGGCTTGGGATTTTGGGCAGACCACCCTCCTGTTGTGCTGTGGGAGCGTCAGACTTCCTTTCCTGGAGCCTGTTCCCTGTGTGTTCTCACTGCCCTTCCCACTGCACTTTCCTGTCCTGCCCTTCTGTTCAGAGGCTATGGTCTGGATGGGTAACATGGGTGTCCCCAGGGCACTTGGTAGAAACGCAGTGTCCTGGGCCTGCTCCTGAGTCGGCCTGCATTGTGATGAGACACCGGCAGCTTGTTTCCAGGTTCGAGGAGCTGACTGGTGCCCATCAAGGACACCAGATCTCCTCAGGCAGTGCTAGGAGACGATGGTGTCTCGGTATACTCTAGCAGAAGGGTAGCTCCAGGGTCTGAGGCATGGGAAGGGACAGGAACACAACAGGAAGGCTTTGGGAAGACCCCTTCACAGGGTTCTCCAAGATGGGGTAGATTCTGGCAGGGTGGAATGTACTTCAGTCCCTGAGGTCCTGGCTGCCCATGCAGTTCATGAACCAGGAGCAGGACAGTTTCCCTTCAGGCTTCCCAAGGAGGCAGGCCTGTTGGCGTGGAGTCCATCTTCATTGCTTTGAGGTGTTCGCTTTCCTTCCTGACTCTGGTTTCCATTCTCTTATTCCTCACAGAAACCTAAGATGAGACTTACACACCCCACCCTGGGCTGGAATCTCCCTGCAGCCCAAACTATACAAACAGCAGCATCAGCACCCTAGGGCATTCCACCCAGCAGAGCCAAGAAGAGAAACTCCATGAGTTATAATGGGCGTCAGGGAAGGGGTTACCAGGAGGCGCCTTGGGCAAGTCAGGCCACCAGCTCTTGGATCTGTGATTGGTGGTGCCTGGCGAGGGAACCCAGGGCCTCCAGCATGTTAGGATACTGCCCTCCACTAACCTGTGTCTCCAGCCTTGTAAGACTCCAAGGCCTGAGGTGTGGGAAGTGCCAAGCTTAGCAATTGGACTTGCTAAGAGCTCAGTCTCCCATTTTTGGGGTTGTCAGATTTGGGGGTTTTTTTGTAGCTATTATAAATGGGATTTTAAACATTTCTTTTTGAGGGGCTGGGGAG